TTCCCCCCCCAAAACCCCGGGGGTTTAATAATTTTTTGGGGGGGTTTTACCCCCTTTTTTTGGGGGGGGGGGTTTTTTTTGGGGGGTTTGGGAAAATTTTTTTTTTTTTTTTTTTTGGGGGGGGGGGGGCCCCCTTTTAAAAATTTGGGGGGGGGGGGGGGTTTTTCCCCCTTTTTCCCGGGGCCCCCCTTTTTCAAAAAATTTTTTTTTGGTTTTTAAAATTTTTTTGGGGGGGTTTTCCCTTTTTTTTTTTGGGGGGGGGGGGCCCCCCCCAAAAAAAAAAAAAAAAACCCCCTTTTTTAAATTGGGGGGGGGGTTTGGGTTTAAAAATTTTTTTTTAAAAAGGGGGTTTTGGGGGTTTTAAAGGGGGGTTTTTTGGGGGGTTTTTTTTTTCCCTTTTTGGGGGGGGGGTTTTTTTGGGGGGGTTTTTTTTTCCCCCCAAAAATTTTTTTTTTTCCCCCCTTTTTTTTTTTCCCCCCCATTTTTTCTGCCCTTTTTTTTTTTTGGGGGTTTTTTTTTTTTCCCCCCCAACCCCCCCTTTTTGGGTTTTTTTCCCCGGGGTTTTTTTTGGGGGTTAATTTTAAATTTTTTTGGGGGGTTTTTTTTTGAAACCCCCCTTTTCCCCCCGGGGGGGGGTTTTTTTTTTTTTTGGGGGTTTTTATTTTTTTCCCCCGGGGTTTTTTGTTTTTTTTTTTTTTTTTTTTTTTAAAAAAGGAGGGGGTTTTTTTTTTTTTTTTTTTTTGGGGGTTTTTTTTCCCTTTTTGGGGGGTTTTTTTTTTTTTGGGGGGGTTTTTTTTTTTTTTTTTGGGGGGGTTTTTTTTTGGGGGTTTTTTGGGTTTTTTTTTTTTTTGGGGGGGGGTTTTTTTTTGGGGGTTTTTGTTTTTTTTGGGGGTTGTTTTTTTTTTTGTGTGTGTTTTTGGTGTGTGTGTGTTTTTGTGTGTGTTTTTTTGGGGGGGTGTTTTTTTTTGGGGGGGGGTTTTTGTGTTTTTTTGGGGTGTTGGGGGGTTTTTGGGGGTTTTTTTTTTTGGGGGGGGTTTTTTTTTTAAAGGGGGGTTTTTTTTTTTTGGGTTTTTTTTTTTTGGGTTTTTTTTTAAAAAATTTTTTTGGGGTTTTTTTTTTTTTGGGGTTTTTTTTGGGGGGGGGTTTTTTTTTTGGGTTTTTTTTTGGTTTTTTTTTTGGGGTTTTTTTTTTTTAAAATTTTTTTTGTTTTTCCCCTTTTCCCCCCTTTTTTCCTTTTTTTTCCCCCCCCCCCCCCTTTTTTTCCCCCCCTTTCCCCCCCCCCCCCCGGGGGGGTTTTAACCCCAATTTTAAATTTTTTTTTTTTTTAAAAGGGGGGTTTGGGGTTGGGTTTCCCCCTATGGGCCTAACATAAAAAAGGGGGTTTTTTTTCCTTTTAAGGGGAAATTTTGGTTTCCGGGGCCCATATGGGCAGCAGTTATTTGGTTTTTTCCCCGGTGTTTTGCTCGGTTTTTCCCCCCTTTTTTCCCCAAAAGGGGGTTTTTTTTTCCCCTTTAATTTTTTTCCCTTTTTTTTTGTGTTTTTTTTTTGGTTTGGTTTTGTTTTTTTGGGGGGGTTTTGGGGTTTTTTTTTTTCCTTTTGGGGGGGGTTATTTTTGGGGGGGGGGTTTTTGTGTGGTTTTGTTTTTTGTTTTTTTTTTGTTTTTTGGTTTTTTTGGGTTTTTTTTTGGGGGGTTTTTTGTTTTGGGGGGGGGTTTTGGGGGTTTTTGTGTGGGGGGGGGTTTTTTTTTTTTGGGGGGGTTTTGGGGGGGGGGGGTTTTTTGTGTGGGGTGTGTGGGTGTGTGTGGTTTTTGGGGGGGTGTGTGTGTGTTTGGGGTGTGTGTTTGGGGTGTTTTTTGGGGGGTGTGTTTTGGGTGTGTGTGTTTTGGGGGGTTTTGTTTTTTGGGGGGGGGGGTTTTTGTTGGGGGGTTTTTTGGGTTTTTTTTTGTGTTTTTTTTTTGGGTTTTTTGGGGGGGGTTTTTTTTGGGGGGGTTTGGGGGGGGGGGGTTTTTTTTTTATTTTTTTTGGTTTCCCTTTTTTCCCCCAAAAACCCCCCTTTTTTCCCCGGCCCCTTCCCCCTTTAAAAATTTTTCCCCAAAAATTTTTAAAACCCTTTTTCCCCCCCTTTTTTTTTTTTTTTTTTTTTTTTTAAAGGCCCCCCTTTTTTCCCCCTTTTTTTTTTTTTGGCCCCCCCTCCGGGGATTTTTTTAACCCCATTAAATTTCCCCCCAAAAGGGGTTTTTTTTTTCCCCTTTTTTTCCGGTTTTGGGGGTTTTTTTTTGGGGAACCCTTTTTTTAAAATTTTTTTTTAGGGGTTTTTTGGGGGGGGGTTTTTTTTTTGGGGGTTTTTTTTTGGGGGAATTTTGGGTTTTTCCCCGGGGGGGGGTTTTTTTTTTTTTTGGGGGGGGGGGGGGTTTTTTTTTTTTTTTTTGGGGGGGGGGGGGTTTTTTTTCCCCAAAATTTTTTTTTTTTTGGGGTTTTTTGGGGGGTTTGGGGTTTTTTGTTTTTTTGGGGGGGGGTTTGGGGGTTTTAATTTTTTTTAATTTTTTTGGGGGGGGTTTTTGGGTTTTTTTGGGGGTTTTTTTTTTTAAAAAAAAGGGGGTTTTTTTTTTTTGTGGGGGGGGGGGGGGTTTTTGGGGGGAAAAGGGGGGTTTTTTTGTTTGGGGTTTTTTTTTTGGGGGTTTTTGTTTTGGGGGGTTTTTTTTTTGGGGTTTTTTTTTTTTTAAAGGTTTTTGGGGGTTTTTTTGGGGGGGGGGGTTTTTTTTTTTTTTAATTTTTTTTTGGGGGGGGGGGGGGTTTTTTTTTGGGGGGGGGGTTTTAATTTTTGGGGGGTTTTTTGGGGGGGGGGGGGGGGTTTTTTTTTTTTTTGGGGGGGGGGGGGTTTGGGGGGGGGGGGGGGGTTTGGGGTTTTGGGGGGGTTTTTTTGGGGGGGGGGGGTTTTTTTTTTTTGGGGGGGGGGGGTTTTGGGGGGGGGGGGGGTTTTTTAATTTTTTTTTTTTTGGGGGGGGGGGGGGGTTTTTTTTTTGGGGGGGGGGGGGGGGGGGGGGTTGGAGGGTTTTTTTTTGGGGGGGGGGGGGGGGGGGGGGTGGGGGTTTTTGGAATTTTTTTTTTGTTTTTTTTTTTTTTTTTTTTTCTTTTTTTTTTGGTTTTCCCCCCTTTTTTTGGTTTTTTTTTTTTTTTCCCCCTTTTTTTTTTTTTAAAGGGGGGGTTTTTTTTTTGGTTTGGAAAAATTTTTTTTTGGGGGTTTTTTTTTGGGGTTTTTTTTTTTTTTTTTTTTTCCCTTTTCCCCCCTTTTTTTTTTTTTTTTCCTTTTTTTTTGGTTTTTCCCCTTTTCCCCCGGGGTTTAAAAATTTTTTTTTTTTTTTATTTTTTCCCCAGAAAAACCCCCCTTTTTCCCTTTATTTTTTTTTCCTTTTAAATTTTTTTTTTTTCCCTTTTTTTTTCCCCCGTGTGTTTTGGTGTATTTGTGTGGGTATTGTGTGTGTGTGTGTGTGTGTGTGTGTGTGTGTGTGTGTGTGTGTGTGTGTGTGTGTGTGTGTGTGTGTGATGTGTGTGATTGGTGTGTGTGGTGTGTATTGTGTGTGTGTGTGTGTGTTGTATGGTGTGTGTGTGTGTATTGTGTGATGTGTGTATTGTGTGTGTGTGTACTGTGTGTGTTGTGGTGTATTGTGTGGTGTTGTGTGTGTGTATTGTGTGTGTGTGTGTGTGTGGTGTGTGTGTGTGTGTGTGTGGTGGTGGTGTTGTGTGTGTGTGTGGTGTGGTGTTGTGTGTGTGTGTGTGTGTATGTGTGTGTGTGTATGTGTGTGTGTATTGTGTGTGTATTGTGTGTGTATTGTGTGTGTGATTGTGTGTTGTTATTGTTGTGTGTGTGTTGTGGTGTATTGTGTGTGTTGTGTGTGTGTGGTATTGTGTGTGTGTATTGTGTGGTGTGTATTGTGTGTGTATTGTGTGTGTGTATTGTGTGTGTGTATTGTGTGTGTGTACTGTGTGTGTGTATTGTGTGTGTGTGTGTGTGTGTGTTTTGTATTGTGTGTGTGTATTTGTGTGTGTGTGTTTGTGTTTGTCTTGTCTTGTCTTGGTCTTGTCTTGGTCTTGTCTTGGTCTTGTCTTGGTCTTGTCTTGTCTTGTTGTTGTTGTTGTTTAGTGCTCCTGTGCTCCTTCAGTGTTCCTTCGGTAATGTAGATGAATGGTTCCTTCAGTGGTCCTTTAGTGATCATTCAATATTCTTCCTAAATTTAGTGCTTCTTCATTGTTCTTCCTTTAGTACTCCATTAGTATTCCTTTAGTGCTCCTTCAATGTTCCTGTAGTCCTCCTTCAGTGTTTCCTTTAGTGCTCCTTCAGTGTTTCCTTTAGTGCTCCTTCAGTGTTTCCTTTAGTGCTCCTTCAGTATTCCTTTAATGCTCCTTCTATGTTCCTCTTTTAGTGCTCGTTCAAATGTTCCTCTTTTAGTGTTCATTCAAATGTTCCACTTTTAGTGCTCCTTCAGTGTTCCTTTAGTGCTCCTTCACTGTTCCTTTAATGCTTCTTCAGTGTTCTTTTAATGTTCCTTCAGTGTTCATCTACTACTCCTTTAGTGTTCCTTTATTTCTAAATACATTTTTATTTAAAAACATTTAAAAACCAGAAACAAAAAAATTGGGGTGGTTTTTTTGGGGACTGGAATGGATTAATGGCATTTCAATTAATTTCAACGAGGAAAATTGATTTGTAATACAGTGGTACCTCAAGTTTCGAACAGCTTCCAACTCGAACAATTATGTAAGTGTATTTTTGCAAGTTCTTTTGTAAGTGTATTTTTGGGGGTCTGAAACGAACTAATCTAATTTATATTATTCCTCATGCGAACAAATTCATTATCGGCACTCGAACAGCCTTCAGGAATGAATTAATTTAGTAACTCGAGGTACCACTGTAAGAGAAAATTGAATTACAAGCTCAGTCACGGAATGAACTAAACTCATAAGTCAAGGTACCACTGTATAACATACTGTATGTATACATACCTTCGTAGTCTGTCTGCACCATGCTAGTAAGGTTTTCTCTAAATTGGTTTGTTGTAAGTCAGACATCACATCTTTCAAAACACCTTGAACCTATTTGAAACATACTAAGATTCAGTAATTAAATATATATGAACTGAATCTGCATCTCTACATAGAAGGATTCATGATGAAAATAGAAAAATTAACAAATACTTATGTTTCTAATAAAATAACTTGCTTTTACTTATTATGGAAGGACACAATAGTTCTTAATTAAGATATAGTGTGCTGTCAAATAAATGATTTTGTCAGTTTTCTAACGTTACATCATAGTGGTAAGAAAACACTGAAAGACGTTCCAAGACTAATAAACTAAATTCCTTGAAGAGCACACACACACTCTTTTATGTCATTGTGAAATGATAAACCATTCTGGCCATTCTCAGAATTCTTTGATTATCTTACAGATGCTTCCCAGAAATATAATACATACCTGCCAGTGTAAAATAATTGCCCACACCAATCCGAGTGTGAGCTTTGCTGAGCCATCCACGATGTGTTCATTAGATATGTTGACCAGCTTTACACTGTGTTCCTCAAGAATGTTTAGTGCTCTGCTCACATTGTTTAAGTGATGAACGCGCATTCGACCCTTCTCTCTTTTCTGAAGAAACAAATTTCAATTAAATGCTATATTTAGCACTGATTAAAATCAGGATAAGAAAAAACAGACCTGATGTCAGGAAATCTAATTAATCAGCATATAAAAATAGGACTGCAATGATTTTTAAGCAATTTCGAAAATCCACCCAAAAATTGTTAAAAGGTTTTTCTCTAAAAATGGGAAATATGAATGATGGAACTGTTTGTTGGATTAATTACTTACCACAAAAGTGAAAAAAATGTTATATATGTATATCTTTCATTCAAGGTTAGAATAGTTTTGATGAGAACATTAGTGTGCTCCAAATGGCTTCAGACAATGAAATCAAAGAAAACAGGGCCTCATATCATGCTAAAAATGACCTGTTTTTACATTTTTAAGTGCTTGATCTGTGTGGAGAAATTTTCTCCAGGAGGGGGGTTTCAGCCCCCTTCAGCCCCTTTCAGCCCTGAGGGGCCCAGCCCTCTCAGAAGGGGCAAGCATCTTGTTTACTGCTACAGAAAGTAATTAATCCCAGATGCAGTACAAGTATGTGATGTGGTCAAGCGACCGCCACTCCTTGCAAGAGTCCAGTGTTGCAAAGTGTAGTTTAATAAAAGACAGTCCATCTCTTACCTTAGCAGGACAATTAAGGAAAATCCTGCTCCCACTTTATTACCATGGTAAAGATAGTGTACATTGTTGTCTATGCTTAAGACAGCAAGAATCAAGCATTCTGCTTTGCTTCATAGAGGAAGTGGCAAGGAAGCAAAAGTACTAGGTCAGCTTTTCCTTTATGTTCGAGGGGCATTGCAGCGGTGTAGGATGCTGTGAGGTCAGATTACTTTTCACCCTACTGGGAGTCACACTGACGTCAGGATAACCAACAAAGAACACTGATCCGTGCGCTAGTGTGAACAAAGTGTCTCACAAAACACAATAAACACTTACAGGGAAGTGTGATCAGCTTCTTTAGTGACAAGATTGTGAACAATAAAGACAAATCTTGTGGAACACAGTGTACCAGTGTGCGTATTCCTTAGACTATGGAAGACGTGGACATCCAAGGACGCTTCAGCTTCCATCAAGTCACCGATACCTGTCGAGGCTGTAAAGAACACCATAGCTCACGCTACAAGAGCAAGGTAGGTTACAGATTTCTTGTAGTATGGGGGACTGTGCAGTTCTTGTGTTGCAAGGAGTTTGTAATCAACCTATAGTCGGCAGTGAGGTGCGGACTTTTGAGTCCACACACGTAAGTTTGTCAGCAATCAGTGAATGAAATATGCTGACATAACACCCCCTAGGGGTAAATTATTATTAACATAATGTACTCTATTACAGCCCATTGTGAAGTGGATATGATAGCTTCTCAAGACCTCGTCTGCAGGGGCGGCTGTTTATCTGGAGAGAGTTCGGGGTCAACGCCCCTGTGGCCCGGTGTGGATGATAGCTGTCTTATCAGCTAAGTACTCCCTATATTTAATCTTTAACCTTAGCTGGTAAACCATTTCTCAACAATCTTAATCAGCATAAGAAAATAGTACCCCTGAAGTGATTTTTAGCAATTTTGAAAATCTTCCCTAAAATGACTAAAAATGCTTAACAAGGATGTAGGTGATCTGGTCTGCTTCATTGCTATTTTAATTGGACATCCCATTAAACGTACTTTCTGAGCCTTTGTCCAGCGAGATTTTTTTTGTCCCTTTTAGCCAATACCCACTTTTTGGGGATCCATTTTATTGGATGTTTACTGTACTAAACTATGTATATGAAACTGGTGAAATTAGATTTAATTTCACAATATGCCTCTTTAGACCAAAGCTTCAATATTAAGATAGGCCTTTAATGGACAACTAAGAGTGATACCCAGATCCACTCAGCCATGCCCTCCTTAATAAGAATAAGGTAAAGATTTCACCCATTATGTGCAATATCACCCTCGGATGCCCTTGGGCTGAAGAGCAAACAGAATTATTCTAGAGACTCTTGAATACATGCACTTAAATTGGGAGGTTTTTAGGTATGCTCAAAGACCCTAATAGTTAGGACTTCATGTTACAAATACCAACTTACCTGGATGGCATTCTGGAGGTCAACGCCCCCACAGCCCGGTCCACGACCAGGCCTCCTGGTGCATCTGGGGCTGACCCTGATATGCTTGGGAATCAAATGCATATCATACCTGCCTAGCCTTAATCCCAACACCTTTTGTATTTTATCTGTGCAAACTGAAATTTTGCATTATTGTGGAAATAAAAATTGTTATAAAGCAGCAGTGTGGGGGTGAAGAGCCTGTGAACCTTAAACTATATTCCATCAGGACTGTGGAATGATTATCACTACAGTCTATCTATGTTCTTTTCTCAATCTCAACAACACACATGTTCCTATCTGCAAAAACTGAAATTTCACATTTTTTGAAAATGCAATATAAAAAAAGAAAGCAATGTGGGTTTAGAAAGCTTCCAAACCTTTACTATTTTCCATATTCTTACAAAAAAATATCTATGTAAGATCATACAATGAGTTATCAAGAAAATATATACTTACATATGATTTATTAGTAAGCACCTCCAGTAATGCCAGAAGTCGAGTACCATCCCGTAAGTCGTAAAAAAGATCTGTAACTGGTGGATGTTGCCCCTTAACTAACTGACTGTTAATCCACTTGGCAAAGGTCTTCTTCTGAACATCCTCACGCTCATCTGCAAATAAATATAAAATAATTATAACCTGTCTGCTATACATTTATTAAGGAATAAAAATTATCATAATCCTCAACATTATGATTTTCAGAACTTTATGTATCAAATAAAGATGAATGTCTAACTGCAACCTGATTAACTAATAGGAAGTCAACAACTTCCACTAACCATTTAGTTTGTGTGTAGGTAAACTTATCAATGCAATGAATATTTTTTAAATTTTAAATCATTGAAATTTTCATGAAATTGGACTATCTTAACCCTTTCACTGTCTCCCATGTAGATCTACATTACTGACACCAGTGTTGCTCACATAAATCTGTCTTAACCCTTTTACTGTCCAAACCTCCTAAACTAAAAGTCCACATTGAAAAATGGCAGAGAGTCTTTTTATGAAGAAAATGACAAAAAATGTGAAATCTGATGGAAAAAAAATTACAGAATTATGTTAGTGCAAAGTCAGCGATCTGAGCACAATTTAAGCATCAGCTATTATCCAGAATCTGAGTCCTAGTTTAAGCCAATTCCATTGCCGAATTCGACGAAATTCTTAGCTATATTGCTAGTATGTTTTCCATTCTATCAACTGAGAGCAAGAAACCGCCTATTCAGCTATCAAAACTACATTATAATGTGCAAAGAAACTGGTAATTTAGCCAATTTTATGCAAAATTAAAAAATTTCAATTTAAAAATAGTCCAAAATAAACACTGCAGACATTCTAACATTTAGGTAGAGGTACACAACATTTCCAACATTTTGGTATAGGTACACGTAAGTACAATTGTCATACACTGTAAATTACCAAGGATAACAAAAAAAAATGTCAGAGTGACTTATTTCCATTGGGGTCCTTGAAATATCTCATTTAAACCTTAAATTTTTTAATTCATCACAGATTATACCATTTATGAGGAGCGGGCAGTCATAGTGTGCCATGAAGATACGTCCAATTCCTTTGATCAAGAGCCCCTTATCAGCATCAACTCGCTTCCCTTGAGGGGTGCAAATTAAGAGAACAAGGGGATAATACGGATTTTTTCTCTGCATATACTAGGGGTGACAACTAATAAATTGAATGCAGTAGTAAATGCTACAAACATTAGAAATTTAAAAAAAATTATGAGCAAATTAGTTTAGTTGGGACACCATAAGCATACTCTGCTCCTGTAGCTACATAAAGGTAATTACTGGTCAATACGACCTTCATTATTTGTATGTTCGTGAAAAGTTCTAAGATTTGTGTGGAATATTCAGCACTGAGTAAAACCTTTCAAATCCAAAAGTAAATATGACATTTTCACTATAATAATAATTATATAGTAGTCATTACTATTATTATTATTATGGAGAATCACTAAAACCTTATGGGTCATAAAGCACCTACCTAGGGAACGAGAGGTAATCATATCTGATCCAAGGAAGTGGAGAGTAGCTCTAATTCCTTGCATCAAGTCTATCACGTGACATCAAGGCACCTCTCTCCATGGGCCAAGATGAGGGGGGTTCAAATTCAAAGTTTATTCTCTATAAGGATTACAATGCTGAGTTTACAGAATTTGGTTATTGTGTGGTTTACATGTAATAAAATAATTACAGTGTACCACTAGAGCACCTAGCAATGGCTAGGCATTTCGGGCAGCTCCATTTCCTTGGGGCAAGAGCCCTTCACCAGCATTATGATATTTCCCTTTCAGGGCTTTAAGAACTATGAAATATAAAGAATGTCGCGCATTTCCTCTCATTCTGAACAAGCGTTTATTTTTTACTCTGGGTAAGCGCTCTAAATTCGTTGGAGTCATACACCCCCTGGGGAATGGGAGGCATTCAGGTTCGATCTAAGGGGATCAAAAACCCCCTTCACAGACATGAAGGCAACCTCCTTTAGGGAGGAACATGCTAATTACGGCCCTTTTTATGACTGACACTTGCAATAATTTAATCAAATTCGTGTAAAAAAAATGTGCAAAACTTTAAATGCAGCATCCCACATTAATTACAATATCAATCGTTATTATTATTTAATGAACACAAGTAAAGGGTATTCGGGGGTTAATAAGATGGGTCATTGTGGTTATAATAATATCTGAAGGTGAGTTCAACAGGTAGCAGCTCAGCTGACCATACACCTGGCTACGCTGCCAAGCCTCTCAACATTATTTACTCTTTTCGACAATGTTGCTAGCTACGGAATGTGACGAAACTTGCACTCTGAAAACAATATCTTTATATAATCATTAAGCAACTGTGAATAATTATAAGAATAAAGAAAATCTTTGGAAAAAAGTGATGAGTATTGGTGTGGTTGTTGTGGTTGCTATGACAGCAGCAGCGAGGCGGCGCGCGTCGTCATGCTCCGCCCGGGAGACACAGCATCACATCTTCACATCAACTTGCTACACGCGACATATGGAATTACCTTGTTTCCTCTCACATACCTTTAAGCAACACCTCCATGATTACTGCTAAGCTAAAGATCAAAGTCCCAAGGCTGTACTTTATCTAGAATATGCGTTAAGAGAGACGATCACAAATTCACATGTTGATCCACACTCGAATCAGTATCGTACTGAGTGGTCTGAAAGAAGGACTCAAGATGCTGCGGGAAATTATTAATAGTAACGCCAGCGTTTTATAAGACACGTTGTTAGTTTGTGCTTTATTTAATATAATGCTTCAGAAGGCTTCTATACAGCTTTTGCATGGGAGCAGACGCTTAGAAGGAAACTCTTAATTGAAGCAAATATAAGGTTAAGTTTGTGCGCTACCCTGTACTCTAGGTTGCTGGGCAATGGGAGGGGCTTAAGTGGGAAGGCGACTGGGTATGTTTCATATATTATCGGTACACTGCCTACACCTTAACTTTAAACTTCCGAAATTTATTTTATATAATCGTTATAAATGTGTAGAAGTTGAGAATTATTGTCATTCACTGATAATTTAGATACAAAGAGTAATCTGCTTAGACTTAACGATTCCCTGAACAATGAGTAATATGACAATGTCCAAAATCTTTTCACATTTCGGTCAAGTGATAAGGAGGGTTTGGAGAGGTAAGAGTAATATTTCTAAGTGTCTCACCACACTGTTTCGATTCGATACGAAGAATATACATCAGGTAATCTTAGAAATTCAAAATGTGGAAGATCCTGATAAGAAATACAAATTGAATCTCAAGTTAACGAACATGGAAAACAGTTCAACAAGTGTTAATAGCGTGTATGTCTGGCTCCATGTGGGTGTGTGCGTGTCTTACTCTATTATCTACCAATATTTATTTTGCTCTTAACTGTCGGCTCTGAGAGGTCAGATTTAGACTTAACCAGGACCAAGTGTATCGTGACTGCAAACAATTCATGCATATATATCCAATTTTTCAGAGATGGATCCCTAATAAAGGATATATCCAACTGCTTCCTTTAATAAATGCAAATCAATTAACTCTGTTACCTTGTAATCAAAATGAGCTTGACGATATACCTGTGATGTACTTGTGACGAATTTTGATGTGTCAACAACCAAATTTACTGACAGAAAAAGGAATTTCCATTACATATATATCCAGGAGTTCCATTTTACCAAAACCATTTATACCTGGAGTTTACCTGGAGAGAGTTCCGGGGGTCAACGCCCCCGCGGCCCGGTCTGAGACCAGGCCTCCTGGTGGATCAGAGCCTGATCAACCAGGCTGTTGCTGCTGGCTGCACGCAAACCAACATACGAGCCACAGCCCGGCTGATCCGGAACTGACTTCAGGTGCTTGTCCAGTGCCAGCTTGAAGACTGCCAGGGGTCTGTTGGTAATCCCCCTTATGTGTGCTGGGAGGCAGTTGAACAGTCTCGGGCCCCTGACACTTATTGTATGGTCTCTTAACGTGCTAGTGACACCCCTGCTTTTCATTGGGGGGATGGTGCATCGTCTGCCAAGTCTTTTGCTTTCGTAATGAGTGATTTTCGTGTGCAAGTTCGGTACTAGTCCCTCTAGGATTTTCCAGGTGTATATAATCATGTATCTCTCCCTCCTGCGTTCCAGGGAATACAGGTTTAGGAACCTCAAGCGCTCCCAATAATTGAGGTGTTTTATCTCCGTTATGCGCGCCGTGAAAGTTCTCTGTACATTTTCTAGGTCGGCAATTTCACCTGCCTTGAAAGGTGCTGTTAGTGTGCAGCAATATTCCAGCCTAGATAGAACAAGTGACCTGAAGAGTGTCATCATGGGCTTGGCCTCCCTAGTTTTGAAGGTTCTCATTATCCATCCTGTCATTTTTCTAGCAGATGCGATTGATACAATGTTATGGTCCTTGAAGGTGAGATCCTCCGACATGATCACTCCCAGGTCTTTGACGTTGGTGTTTCGCTCTATTTTGTGGCCAGAATTTGTTTTGTACTCTGATGAAGATTTAATTTCCTCATGTTTACCATATCTGAGTAATTGAAATTTCTCATCGTTGAACTTCATATTGTTTTCTGCAGCCCACTGAAAGATTTGGTTGATGTCTGCCTGGAGCTTTGCAGTGTCTGCAATGGAAGACACTGTCATGCAGATTCGGGTGTCATCTGCAAAGGAAGACACGGTGCTGTGGCTGACATCCTTGTCTATGTCGGATATAAGGATGAGGAACAAGATGGGAGCGAGTACTGTGCCTTGTGGAACAGAGCTTTTCACCGTAGCTGCCTCGGACTTTACTCTGTTGACGACTACTCTCTGTGTTCTGTTAGTGAGGAAATTATAGATCCATCGACCGACTTTTCCTGTTATTCCTTTAGCACGCATTTTGTGCGCTATTACGCCATGGTCACACTTGTCGAAGGCTTTTGCAAAGTCTGTATATATTACATCTGCATTCTTTTTGTCTTCTAGTGCATTAAGGACCTTGTCGTAGTGGTCCAATAGTTGAGACAGACAGGAGCGACCTGTTCTAAACCCATGTTGCCCTGGGTTGTGTAACTGATGGGTTTCTAGATGCGTGGTGATCTTGCTTCTTAGGACCCTTTCAAAGA